CCTCGCTGACACTTTTATGGTGTGTGTGATTTGGTAGAAAGATTCCTACATGTAAGTGATGATATCTGGAAAGAGACATTGTTGCATTATTGTTTTTTGGAGGGGTCTTTGAACTGCACAACCTAAAGGTAACCCATTCCCATTATATTAGAACTACGGTCGATACCTCCAACATGATTATTCTGCAGTGCGCTGTCTCTTTAAACCGTGTGAATTGGTTGTAGGCCAGTTCCGTGAGCACTATCAAAAGGCATTGTGCGAGGCCTTGACCTACCACTGCTCCTGATGGAGGACAACAACCGACCAATCATGCGCTTGGCTGGAGAGGGATCAGCGACCCGGGGCAACACTTGTATGGTGACCAGGGAGGGGAAGTCCTGGAACACTGAATCACTTACTGCCCTCTAGAGGTACAAGATAAAACAAAATACATGTCATTCATTACATCTTTAAAGGTCCCCCCTAGTATACTGTCTTTCATCAATATATTATAGGTCTCAGATATATGCAAACATGTCTCTGAAGTGTTTGGCTCCAAATACCAAACAGATCATTGTAGCAAGCAACCAATAATCCCCTCTGTTTCAACCCTGTATCAAAAGTGCTGATTCTCTGTCTGTTACTTTAGATGAAAATAAGGAGCCACTCCCCATGCCCCTCTGAGAGAGATTTGGTTAAAAATAACACAATAGTGCTCTAGGAGGAGATTCAGGTGGGGGGGGGGTCAGCTCATTTTCAGACAGGTTTTTATATAAATGGATCAGGACAAAAAGAGAGAATCTTTTTTCCTGAAACTTTCAGAATCTCTTTACACAGAGGGGACACATGTTTATGTATTAAAGACATGAAGAAGTGGATTTTTCACAATAGGTGACCTTTAAGTTGTTATTCTGGAAAAAAACAACTGGTTGCATTTGATCACCTGAATCCTGGCAGCAGCTGGTTTGGCGTCGGTGAGTGCGAGGGCGTAACCACACACCCCCATCTCATCCTCCAGGACCAGAGCACACTCAGGGGAGGGGGGGATGTCCCCCGCTGAGAGGCTGCAGCGGGACACAGGCAATGTTAATGTTAAGTATGAAAGCATGAATACTTACAGAGAGAGGATGTGACTCTTTCTCACCCATCACAGATGAGGGGGGGCTGCATCATCAAGGGGACTTTGCCCTCTCCCGCACTCTGCATCTCTCTGAAAATCCTTTGTACCTCCATCTAGTGCAGAAAACTAAACTGTAACATCAACTGCTGATCTTTAACAAAGAGATCACATATCGGCGGCGAAGACAAGCCATACAGACAAGCACAATCTGAAGCATAGTCACAACTGGTATCCGTGGATTTATAAATTCAGTATCAGTGACACTTAATGATGGTAACTAAGAGCCACCAACGTTCCCGTGCTAATATAACATATATATATATATATATATATATATACAGTCTATGTACATACTGTAAGGTGACATACATCCTGCAAGTTCTTGTTTCTGAACCAGCCCTAGCCTCTGCTCATCCTGACATCATTCAACATAGTAAGTGCTTTGATAGTGCTATGTTCTTATGAGTTATCTGATCAATACATGTATTATTTTACTATGAAACCGTACCTCATTTACAGAAGCTAACGGGCATAATATATTGTAGCAGTAGCCTGCATTAGGGAACATCGGTGTGAACAATACTATAGGGGACCAATTATTACCTGCTGTCTCTTGTATCATATCATCAATGCTGGCATCCTCACCTTGTCCTCAGGGCAGAACATCCGTATGCTGTAAACCGACGTCATGAGAGGATGTCTGAACAGGTCCCTGTTTCCGTGGCAGGGCAGCATTCTCTGAAAGAACACATATTTAGTTCATTCATATTTATTTTGACCTACGCTGATGGATAATTAAGTGAGAACGCAACACTTGTCTTATTAATGATGTCTATTACTGTACACTGGGAAAATGGCAAATTCATTGTGATATTAAAATAAGAAAACATTTGAAATGTGTCTTTATACTGTTTTTAGATAAAGTTACCTGGAACTCTCCAGAGAGGCCTCCTCTGAAACCCCAGGGTTCAGGATCAGTGTTCAGCAGCTGGGCTGCGGGGCGAGCCTGCCCTCCTGGAGAACACATTAACACAAGTGATGCTTAAGAAGGTCAAATCTTAAGGATTAACATTTTCTAGATTATAGAGAATCCAATTGCAGCAATGTTTTTGCTTCAACCAATTCACTTTTCATTGAAGTTGCTCCCCAAATACTGTGTATTTTTTCTCCTTTCAAGGAATACTTCACCCAGAAAATGACCATTTCTATATTAATTACTCACCCCCTCTTTCCTCGAATGCTTAAAGAAATGTGTCTTCTTGCATGCATACGCAGTGAACAAAGAATCAAAAATATGATTATTGCTGAATTAGTATAAAAAGTAAATTGGGGGATTATCTTTTGACATGGATACAGCTGCCCTATCCTGTGTGATTTGATGAGCATTTTCTCACCGAGTGTTTTCACGTAGGCTCGAGCCAGGCCCACCCCACTCTTGATGTCACAGATGTAGTTGTAGAGGTCGTACAGAATGCTGCGGTTGGGGGCGTTGGACAGACGGTTGAACATCTGCACCACCGCTTCGCACAGGCCATCAAACTGGTGTGCTCTTGAGCGCCATTCCGCGGTCTAAAAAAAACACAGTTAACGCATGAAATCACAGAAAACCAAGGTCCTTATCTGCTTTTGGTTGCAAATATAAAATCGCCACTACCTTGTCCGTCTCGGCCGCCACGGCCCAGCTGTGGTTCTTGAGCCAGTCCAGCTCCTGCAGCATGGTGCGGGCGGTGGGGCCGTGTTCGTAGGGCAGGTAGAAGAGCTCCGACAGCAGCTTCAGGTCCTCCAGGGTGAGGGGCTCGGCCGTGTACAGAGGGTTCTCCCCAGGTCCTGGGATATAGGAGCCCTCCCCCATATCTGTCTGCATGGGCTCCTCCTCTGAAACCTCCTTCTTCAGACAAGCTGGAGGACGACAGGGGCCTGGAAGGAGGAGGAGGGGGAAATTAGATGCTTTGCTCTACTGGGACACCCACCCCTCCCCTGGCCTTAACATTAAAGGTCTCCTATCATCCAAAATGAACTTTTTGATGTCTTTTATACATAAATATGTATAATATTCATACAACCCTCATGAGGGATGGCTAGAATGGGTGATCTGTTTGGTATTTTGAGCAAACGTTTCATAGAAATGTTTTTTATATATCTGAGACCTATAATATAGTATAATAGGAGACGTTTAAAGGATTCTTTCGTGACTCTGTACCTCCAGGCTGGTCGGTGCTCATGAACTCCTGCAACCAGTCGGTGAGGGCCAGCGTCAGGGCTTTCTGGGGGCTGTAGCAGGGGTCCTGCTCCTCATCGTCTGGGGATGGAGGTCAGAGACAATAAGACAATAAGAAGAATTCTCACTTCTATATATCATATGTAATAAGTTCCCAGGCTTTTGCAAGTGTATTGATATTTTATTACAGCCTAATTTTAAGCAACAGAAGCCTGTTTTGGCGCCTCCATATAAGTTACATTTGGAAGATCTTGTCTTTTTATGCATAAAAAAACGTCAGGGACAGACTGCCGCTCCCTCCACACATTTACTATTTAAAGTTTCATTGCTAGTGTTATATAAAAGCACAGTCAAATCTTAGCGGAGATTTTCTGCAAATATGTCAAAATGTAACCATGCATTCAAAAGGAAAGATATTTTGATTTCTAAATATAACTCACCCATTTCCACATCCCTTTGTCTTCCATCAGCAGTTGCTTTGCACCACGTAGCTAATGTGTGGATGGCCACAAAGTTTGGGTAGAACTCGCAGTTGGGATTGGTGAGGACCCCTCTCAGTTTGGCGATCAGCTCAGTAGGACGATCCTGACAGGAAACATACAACGTTAATAATTATTAGATACGGATAAGACTATAGGCATCTAAAGGTACTGACTTTGAAGGGTCCGAGGAAAAGCCTTTGGGGGTCGTAGTCGTTTGCGTGGATATTGTCCCAGATGACTGGCGGCCTCCTCAAGACGGAGGACACCTCTTCTATGGACTCAATGGAGATTTTGTGGGATACCACTTTGGGACCTTAATAACACAAATAACCGAGAAAGAGAGAGTAAAAAAAAACGTTGTATAACTGTACATTTGATTACGTCTGTAGCGGTATAGGACAGCCTCACCAGTCCACAGTATGTCTATCCCAGGCAGCAGCTTCTCCCCCACAGTGTGCAGGTAAGAGGACTGGAGCACGCTGGGGGTGCAGAACGCAGCACAATAATCTGGAGGGACAGAGCAAGTGTAAATGACGGGAAACAGTGACAGATTATGAGCTTATCATGTAGAATATAGGGATCAAATGTTGTTTCCATAGCTTGAAACTCCCAGGCTGTCTTTAAAGGGGCTTGATAATATCTGGAATGTTTTACAGAAACGACACGCTTACGGCCTGACCTGTGGGACAGAAGAGGAAGGTCTCGGGGTCTCCTAGGTGCTGGTACACCGCATTAGTGATGGCCACCTGAGCGTAGGCGAAGGAGCTGAAGGCCTTCTTATCAGCCACACACATCTCAGTCTCGATGTCATCGAACAGTAAAGAGAAGGACCTGCAGCCAAACTGCCTCACCTGAGGGGGGGAGAGCACAGCTTGGGCTTTGGAGAAATCTTTAAATCATTTGGTTTTCCTAATCCCTACATCACCATTTTGAAAAATGAAGTTATCCACTAGTTATAAACCAGCTACTAGGAGTGTAAGTGCCATCAGTTGCACGTTGAGCTCCTAGCTTTGTATCTTCTATTTTACTGCTGCCTTTATGGAGCTATTTCAGGGTCATAAGTTTTGATCATTCAAAAAAATACAATTTATTTGAAAGTTCAAGTTTTTATCCTGAACCTTGAAAAATACTATGATGTATTCAAAAATAAAAATAAATATTTGAAATCATTTTTCAGGTTGAATATTATTTTGATTCAACAATTTTTTTGAATCAAATATTTATTTTCAGATTTCACTTTTATACATATTTTGAATCCTTATTTTTTTCAGTTGCAGATTTTTAGTTTTCAGATTCAAAACAATTATTTTTTCAGTTTCAAATCTTGTTTTTTCAGGTTTCACATTGCTTTTCACCTTCAGATCGTTTTTCAATTTCAGTACCTTTTTTTTCGCTTTCAGGTCTTTTTTTTTTGCTTTCAGACTTTTGGCCCTGATGTTGCGTGGGGGGGCGGGGCTTACCAAAGAGTAGTTTGGCATCCTGAGTGACAGGCCTCCCTCTGTCATGTTGCCTTCATGGATGTTACAAAACTGAGACCAGCGTCAAAGTTCCGTTAAGCGAGCTGTTGAGCATCGTAGTTGGCAACAATCAAGTACAAATAAACTGTGCTAGAATGTGAAATTACGTATCCGCAACGAGCCAGCCGGTTGTTCTCGTGGACCTGACGCACATCCCCCGCTATCTCGCCCCTTTCACACCAACGCGTTGACAGGGCCGGCTCGGAGCTAGAGCCTGAAAAGTGTCGGTCTAGAAGCAAGACTCCGGAGCTAAGAGGCGGCGTCGCTTACGTCTCTC